ATGATACCATTGACTACATTTCTAGAAGACAAAAAACACAATGTCATCTTCAGTAACCCGATAATTATTCTGGTTTCTTCTAAGGTACAATAAAAAAGCAGAAGCAATAAAGAGCACCACTTTATTTACACTCTTTCTGAAGGAACTGATTAACAAAAATGTTTCGTTGTTTTGATAATGTTTGAACAAATACCAATCGCCCAACACCATTCAAGTTGCATGCTGTAATTGGTGAGTCCATGAAGCGGGCAAAATATGTTCACGTATGATAATGGTGGATGATTATGATATTGCCCTTCACTCCTCCAGAGTTGGATGTAAAACATCGACTTGGATGTGATAGTACAGACCACGGTATTTCAATTCTCTCTGGCGAATTAAATAATGAACATGTGCATAGGTATCCTTTTTCCTAAGTTTTTGGGCGCGCTGCAGCCTCTGCCTTCTAAATAAGGAACAGGAGTTACATTTGTTAACGTTGATCAGGTCTTTAATAAATTAAACTCTGAGTTATGCTAAGAAACGGAACAAACCTTTGGGGGTTTTCTTTGTTGCCCGCATCTCTAACATGCTCCATCATCTTGTAACGAGCAAAGGTGAAATTGCGTCTCACTAAAGTTTGGTTGGAGAACGTAAGTCGCCGGTACATGTCGTCATCATCACAGCCCCATCCAAAGTACGTATTTGCATGTCCGCGCGTTTTCTCGAATCGCTTTCACGTCATTGCTACTGCCCCTCCAAATGCGGTTTCGAAGAACAGTCTTTGATAAGTTGAATATAAAATGCTCTCATTTTTTGGTAAAACATCGACATAGTTAAGTAAACTGATGCTATAGTCTGAGAACAGTCAGTGGCATTCTTGCCACATGCGAGTAAACGAATTTATCTGACAGTATGATAGTGGCGTGGTCAGATACAAAATAGTATACAATTAGTTAATTAATGGGTTTCATGTTGATTCGGTATTCGACTATGTACCACTATGTCGAATGTTGCGCAGGGTTTCTTGAAGATGTCTATTTTGAACCAGTTAAGGTGGGTTTCATCCGGATTTGTCCCGAGCACTTATGAAGAAAGCATAGGTAATGCAGGAGTTCTTGGCGCATAAAAACGATTCAAATGGATGAAAAGACGAATGTTATTGGCTATATTTATTAAATTCACAAAAATTGCTTACGTAGGCCCACTCGTATACACCTAGTCCCAGAATTTTGGCCTGCTAAAACGAAGGTTATAGAGTTTTGGGGGGTGGTGAAATAGGATAGGCAGAGAAGGAAATTCTTAGAAGTAAGTGAAAAGGTAAAAACAATGTACTCGATTGTGCTTCCTGCGGCCGCTGGGAGTAAGTTGTTCCGCATTTAAATTGAAGGTGAGCGCGCTGCTGAGCGCCGTGGATTATACTTATCTAACTGCAGAATGGTAAGTTGGACCTCAAGTAAGTTGAAGTAGACGACCTCCTAACCACTGCTTCAGTTTTTCGGGAAATTCAGAAAACCTGCAATTTCATAACGGTTTTTTCTGCAATAAGTTAGACGATAATACAGATTTGGAAAATCTGCAGATATCAATCAACAACACTTATAACTACAGTAAAATTAAAATGCATTTAGCATTTATTAAAGTATATTTCACTGTGTGTCCTAAGTCCCCATCCATAAAACCCTGTAACCACCGTTTTTTGTAGGAAAGCATGCAGGGAGTAAGGATTAATGAGTGGGCCTACATAAGCTACTGCTGCCATTAACTTTTATCCCGATTGTATAACGCAATAACCACACGATTAGCAAGATTTAATGTCGTTATATAATTCCGCGACCTCCTCTTAACTGCAAATGGTTGTTGCCTATTAATAAAGCAATTACTTGTCCAAATAAGTAGAACAAAAGACGACTCGATCGCTGGGATAATACTTTTATTCGCCGGAAGTTTCGACACCCGTCGTGGATTACTCATCAGAGACATAGTCAAAGAGCAGTAGCAGAAACAGGTAACACACGAAATAATAAAACAAAAGTATTGTGCCAGCGATTGAGTTGTCTTCTGTCCAATTACTTCCTGGGACTCGCATGTTCGCTTGTATTGTCTAATTTAGTGTCGACAAATAAGGGTGAACATTCATAGGTTGAGAGATTAGAAACCGTTAGTCTTAGATGCGAGAACATGGTAAGGGGTGGGGGTAGTTATCACAGCATGGCAGTTGATGTTAATTCATGGTTATGAAAGCCTGTGGGACGTGGTTAAAGGGTTGAGGGGGTGGGGGGCAAAGGACAGGATAGCACTCAGTTCTAAGGGGGATGAGGAGGTGTGAGAAGGAATGCGAAGTTGATCACATTATCTCCGCAGTGCAGCGGCCTCCGCAAATCATAGAATACACCCGGTCGTCCACGAAATACGACCTACATTGCAGTCTTCTCCTCGACCGTCTGGTCAGTGTCCACTACGTGCTTCGTGAATTAAGCCTTAGGGATTTTAATTTTCGCCCCAACAAACCGCTGCAGCGTATGTTCAGCTGACCGCGTTGCCACCTGCCTTTGCGCTTGCCGGATGTATTTGCTTCCGCAACTATATGTAAACTAGTAAACACAGTTTGATGTGGTGTGCATAGGCAGACTGTCCCTAGTTGGTCTTACTGGACTAGTCGTTACTGTGCTTATACACAGCAAGTTCACGTTGAAGATCGTATCTCCCTTAAAATAGAGGAAAATGCTCGCTGGACTTTTTGGCCCTGATATTTCAGGAGAATTTTTGTCTGTGGTTGCGATACTTATCAACGAATCTACAAAAACACATTCTTGAGAAAACTAATCGCTTCATCGTCTCCGCAGAACAGATTCTAGCGGACCTATTATAAGGCACCGAAACCAAGTTTTGTTTCCTCTGGATTTGAACGAAATTAAGAAAATGCATATATTGGCCTTTCCATGTGGTTTTCTGATATATGGACCTTTGAATGGAACCGTCTGCGCGTCTGCGTATAAGCTCGTATAAGAAAGCCAGTGTGTGGTTTTTCTCATGTTCGATCGTAAATTTGATCTCGGAATGCGCCTTGTTCATAGCTATAAGTACCAGTTCTTCTTGTCTAAGGTTTTTGGCCATGGCAAAATTTTTACCCGCATGTCGTCGATAGAAAGCAATTGCTTTTATGTGTTTGGGTAATTTTTGATCAAGGTTCGACAAGAAATTACCTGCTACGACTGGTCCTAATAAACTGCCTATAGCTACGCCGTCAAGCTGTCGATACGACTGTCCGTTGAAGGGGAACTGTTCGTTCTTTGTGCATATCTGTAGTAGTTACGGTAGTTGGCGTGTTTCCATACATGCATCAGCCGCATGATCACAAATTATGTCAATGGTTCATCCAGCAGCACGTTTGTGAACAGAATTTTAACCTCAACTGTGGTCCTGCGTGTATTACCTAAAGTTTCATTCTTCAGCTCCTCTACGAACGAAAATACATATTTGGTTGTGTGAGCAGCAAGTCTGCATCTGATTGGTTGAATTTGTTGTGCTAGCCATTAGGCACGCTAATGCTACGGTGAACCCCTATTGATAAAATTGGCCGTAGTGGAAACCCTGGCTTGTGCAATTTTGGTAGCCCATATAGCCTAGGAATACGTGAACCTATAGGCCTTTTTCCTTCACCGTTCCCATATAAATGTACTGCCCCGCTGACGATTAATTAAAATCACGCACATGCTTCTGTGTTGTCTAATGGAAAGGTTTGCAACTATTAATGAAATAAATGAGAAACATATCTAATAAGTTCGGGGTATTATACCAGTCACCTCTTATATGTGTATAAAGACTCTAGCCTAAGCGAGCAGAATCGAAATATTCCATAAAGATATTGTTTTCTACCTAGTACGTGTGGAACCCAGGACTCCCGATTCGATAAATTTTTATTTCACCAAAACAAAATGTGATAGGGTAAGAACTTAAGAGTAATTAAACTTATCGATCGTTGCAGTCATATGAAGTGGTTGATTCTCGCAACCGTATATCATTCTGTCATCCTCAGGAAGAAGGTCGACCTCATGGAAAATGAAGCAACTATAATTGGCTGCCTTAACGGCCTCTCGGAAACCGATATTTAAGAGTGCACCTTTGTTGAATATGTCTGGTTTCACCTGAAACATTGCAAAAGTTACAATACTTCTGAGTCCTACAAATGCACAAATAGTCTAAGGCGCAAGAAACGGGCGATTTTATGGTTACTTGTATACACTGGCATTGTATCTATATTTAAGACTCAAACTAATTTTAGATGCCCTTGAAGCTCATTTGCTTTTAAAACTATTCAAAGAAGCAAATTAGCCGTAAACTGTTAGACGCCACGTTTCAGGAAGTTTGGCAGGAATTATCATTTCGTCTTAGACGGAGCGATGACGTTTTCTTACTCAAAGGAAATTGAACTTTGCAAAGACGTTTTTGTTTTTCTCGAAGATTTGTATCGGAATAATGTGCAGTACCTTCTAATGACAAGGTTGGACGAGAACGATTGTTAAAGATATGTCTTTCTTAGGAGCCAATATTCATATAGACGGTGTTACCTACCGTATTCGCCGAAAATCCTGCAACATGCTGACATATGCAAAAGACTGATACTCTTTCGCTAATCGGCATTGACTCAATTTGTAATCCCGATTATCGTGTAGTCTATTCTGAAGTATATTCCATCATGATAGGACGCGGGATTTTCAACGAGTTTCGTTCTGACCACTAACAAAACGTATATTATTGTTAAAGCTGGGTAATTAAGTAGTATGACGTTTTATCATTTATTCTAAATACCCTAATAAATTCAAATATATTTTATAGAAAACTTGCACGAAAATATCACTTCTTGTACTTTTTTGATAGCAAATTACACCTTTTTTTAAAGTTTATGCTAAAAGAAAGCGTATCTTTCAGTTCTGAAAAAGTTTTTTTTCAATCGCCCAATAACTGTTTAACATCTGACTGCTATACTCAAATTCAAGGTGTAAAAACTGCGCACTGTCTACAACCTGTTTCAGGAAAATAACGTTTTCGTCTACACCTTGAGGAAGAAGTCACATGGTTGTCATAAAATATTGCAATAGATGTTGAACGTGTTTTATACATTATAGGCAGCATTAATAAATTAGTGGTTACGATGTATTATGAATAAACACCTCACAGTTGTAAATAAAGCTCATAATTAGCAATATTTTACAACCTAAAGACACCCTTTCTTTAAGTATAAAATTTAAAGAAGGCTTAATTTTCTATCAAACGAGTACAAGAAAAGAAAAATTTCTGTGCACGTATTCCATAGAATATATTTGAATATATAAAGGCAGCTATAATAAATGAAAAAAAAGCATACTAACTTAGTGGCTAGTTTTTCTAATATTTACGTTTTGCTAGTCGTCAAAACGAAGCTCCTGTGATGACTGAAATGACTTCAAAAAAGACTACACGATAATCAGTATCACAAACTGACTCAATACCGATTAGCGAAAGAGTATTCATATTTCGCATATGTCGGCATGTTGCGTGATATTTGGCGACTACAGTAGAACCTTCGAAACAATGTGTATTTGTTTGAGTGACAACCACATCGATAACTTCCAATAGCTGCCATCAGGGGTTGCTGAGATAATCTTAAACGATAAGGGAGGGGGCTGCAGAGTACCGGAGAATCCATTCTATTGTACTGAGCATTGGAACCCAAACAGAAGTTCATTTTCAGCGAAAAGAAACAGCCAAAACAAGTAGTTTAAGGAAGAAGACTTGTCGAGCACCGGATCAATTAGCTTATTGTCCTGAGCCTTCGAACTCTTACAGGAGTTCATCTTGAGAGATAAGAAGCAGCAACCAAAAGGAGGGTAATTATAGTGGCCAAAGCCCAATCAACTGTCAACGGTCGTCAAAGGAAAAGACACATAAACCAGAAGGATGGAGGTCGGGGGGGAGGGGGAGCAATTATAGGGGTTAACGCTAATTAACTGTCAGTGAAGACGGCTGTCGTTCGGGGTCATGAGCAGT